AATTGGGCAGATTTATTGTGGTGTTAAGACCTGATGACATATTGTTTACAGTAGACATACCAACTAATTATAATCACTGGACCATGGGCAGTACAGAATACTCTTTTTTTGGTAGTAAAAGTTAGGACTGTAATGACTACAAGATAGCAATTGAAAAAATCAACAATTTGGACTTTTGTCGCCTACTTTTGGGGCTCTAATTTTAGTTTTTTAACCTTTTTTCTAACTTCTACAATTATATTTCAATCAATCTGAAAACTTACAGAGGGATAGACACTTTTATTGCGAGCAAAAACTAATTTTCAAAAATTCCGATATCACTTCCGGTTTTAACGCTATTTGCTTCTAAAATATAAGATAGTGGACCACAGCCATATACGCCCACCACGGCATGCAGATGGTAAAAACAAAACATCGATTTTAAGTTTCATCAAAATCGGGGCAAGGGCAAAAACTCTGCTTCTAACTGTTGAAAATAGCTCAAATGCGAACTTGATCTTCATTTCATGAATATGTATGCACATACCGAATTTCATCTGATTTCCTTCAAACATTCTAGTTTTTAGAGTGTTTACGAGCAATTGATGTTGAGGGCGATAACTCCTCAAAAGTGACGCAAGAGGCCTAAATCTTGAAAAAGCCTTAAATTTAATCAGAAGTAAACTAAACTTTCTCAAAATTTTCGATTTAGGTGAAATAACATCCATTTTAAGTTTCATCAAAATCAGTTGAAAAATAGAGTAATAGCATAGTCAAGATTTTGGAGCAAGGGCAATAACTCTGCTTCTAACAGTCGAAAATAGCTCAAATTCGAACTTGATCTTCGTTTTATGAATATGTATACACATACCGAATTTCATTTGATTCCATCAAAAAATCTAGTTCAAACGTTTGAAACTTTACTACACAAAGAGACTACAACAATGAACAATAGGGATATTTACGTTCTTCATTTCAGATGAGTTCATATAAGTAGTCTAAACATTGATCAAGTTTTTTTTTTTAACTGAAATAGTTTAATGATACAATAAATCATAATCAATGGTACCACTGAAAACCTTTTGATTGTGACAGTGATACATGCGGCATTATCAATCAATCAACCGTTCGGCTTCACTTTCGACACTACTAATCTTTGTCCTAATCTAACAAGTGTGCAAGATCCACGCATCAAAACTGTAAACACGCTAAATAAAAGAATTTTCCGAATGTAACATTTTGCACATTATCATCAGTAATAGACAGGCTTTAGCACATACTTAAAATATCATTAAAATTTTAGTTTTACCTCAAATTCGGGTTCACTTTCGGAACTTGCCATTTTGAAAATCTAACGCTTTGCTGTGAAACAATGACCCACTTTCATCTACACAACTCGTGTCACTCGTGTTGCGTTCTATTCGACACCAGCCGGTGCCCGTACTGTACAGAAGGAAGTACTTGCAGTTGTTCAATTTTTTTTTCATTTCAAGGTATTCTATATTTAATATAAAATATATATGAAGGCCTTTATATTTTTTAAAAAAGGAAAACCTTGTTCCTTGATAAATGCACTAAGGTGGACACTACCCTGTACAGAACGATGACGATCATGCTTTCAATCTGACCATCTGGAACATTACCATAATAGAGTTATAAATAGAGCATTACCAATGACAAGTTTTACAAAAAATACACATTTTGTCATTGAAATAACGGTTATTTTATTTTATAATTTCAAATACGTGAAACAGATTCAAGTGTGAATCATGAATCACAAAAAGAATAATATTAAGAAAAAAATTTTTTTGATAAATTCTAGTCTCAGTCGAGTTTCTTTTAGAAATTAATTAACTAGATTGTTTCGATTGCTTCAACAATTTACGACAATCGTTAAAATTATACAATTACCGTACTTTTATATTACTCTTTTTATCAGACAATGATAATATGAGGTGATTGACACACTCACATTGAGAATTTCAAACAATTTTTCATCTAAATTTGAAGAAAACATACATTTTGAATAAAACATTGTTTACTGGACTGGCTTGTGATTTTAAGGCGTATGTACCACGTGACTAACGATTTCAATAATTTAAAGGGCAAGTTTGACTTTGTATATGGGTATTTTGTAAATTGACCATAGCAAATGTATATAGACAGTGAGCTCAAATATAGATAAAAATTTCTGCCATTTCAAAATGATTTAAATAAATTTGAATTGGTCCGAGTTATAATATACATTTTCGTCTTTTTCCTGAAATTGACACATATTCACCGTATCACGAATACGGGTTTTGACATGGTGGAAGTATGATGAATGGTCACAATGTGACCCATTGTGTCCGCAGATTTATCGTACTGTGGATCAAACTAGTGAATTTAAATATAATAGCATAGAACTGTATACTGACAGTTAAATTAAATTTTAATTTATACAAAAATAATAGTGCAAAATTCTTTCTGTAACCATTCTGTTAGGACAGTGTACAAGTTTACAACTTCATCATGTTTTCTGATAACAGTTTTCATTTTTTTATTTTAAGTGGAGAAGATAGACGTCAGTATATACCTTTATCTGCCGGTTTCAGGCCAACATCCGGCATACACCGGAAGTCCTTGAAACCACTCAATTGCGACAATCGGCCTTTTTTACGACCTGACAGTCGGTCACCTTTCGAAGAATAACTTCAGAATATAATTTGTTTTGAATAGAAAGGCAGCTTACATAAGAAACGAGATGATTAAACTTCAACCACACCTCAAGACTGCTACCACAACATATTTCCCAAATTTAATTAAATATGTTCCGAAAATCGGCAAACTTGGAACAGAAGATGCTGTTTCTAAAGCATATCCGACCTCCTTGTTATTGAAGAATCCAACTCCAATGGTCACACAAGGACAAGCTTTGAAAATGAGAGTATGCTCTGCCGTTGCTGGTAAGTGAAAACAAAGAACTGTGTTATAGTTCTATAATGGAAAGAAAGATTGGAAATAATACGAAATGTTATAGATTTCATTAAAACAAATACAGTGGTGTAACCTATTTTCGTGCATATAGGGATTCAACACCGAATTTCGTCAAACAGAAATATTTTCAAATGTCTTAGATGTATCCTCAGATATTCTACAGTATAATTAAAATTGGTTGTTCCGATTTTCTTTATGAATCCCTCACTTTGACCCATGTTTCATGAGTAACCAACTTGACAACGGCGGCAAAATGCGTCACTTACTATTGTGTGCAATATTTCATCTATAAATTGTGTACCATCATAGAATTTTTCTGATGACACAGAATCTGCTAGTTGATCATGTGACTTCATTCGTTGGACTACATTGTAGCAGCACACTTGGAATTCCGATTACCGCTTGGGATTATACAAAAATTCGGCTGATACAAAATTGTGACGTTTGCTAATAACTGAAATCCGCCATTTTGTATTTGTCAAAGTATACATTAATACATTTTACCATGCTTGAAACTACTGAATACAGATAACCCATAATTATCAAAACAAGCAAATGCGGAGATCATGCGAGGTCGCACATGTAGTTTATTAATCCTTTCAGGAAATGCACGAAAAATAGGTTAGCACGAAATTAGGCTAGTTGACTGTAATAGCTATTGGCCTTGATGCATTTCGTGATAAACAACAGTTGACTCGAGGTTGTAGACAAGTTTGTTGACAAGTTGACTGTTGACTGAACACCGTCCGTTGGTCCGTCAACATTTCTTGTGAACACAGTAGAGTCTACAGTTTTTATCTGATTTTAATGAAACTTTATGTGATAATGTATATTGATCAGATCTTGTTCAAGTTCGAAGTTGACTATTTTTCGATGAATGGTTTTTTAGTTATTGCCATTGACTTAGTAAGGAAAAACGCGTCAAAATTTGTTTGTGAACACAATAGAGACTACAGTTTTCAACTGATTTTAATGAAACTTAATGTGATGATGTATATTGATGAGATCTTGGTCAATTTGGAATAAAGATGATTTTTTGAAGAACGTTTTTTTTTAGTTATTTCCCTTGACTTTAGAAAACACATCAAATTTGATTGTGAACACAATAGAGTCTACAGTTTTCATCTGATTTAAATGAAATTTCGTGTGGTCATTTATAGTGATGAGATCTTGGACAAATTTGAAGTTGGCCATCTTTCGATAAACAAGTTTTGAGTAATTGCCCTTGACTTATGAAAAACGAGTCAAAATTTGGTTGTGAACACCATAGAGACTACAGTTTTCATCCAATTTAAATGAAACTTTCACATTTTTTACCACAAAATTTAAAACAAGCTTAATTGGTAATAGTAAAGAGATGCCATTTTGAATCATTTTTACTAAAATAATCGTATATACCTGTTTGTCCGCCATGGTTTGATTCTAGTGTATTGACAAGTAAGCTGGCTGTTTTCAATATTTAAACAAAAAATGATGACATTAGTGATCTATTAACTGTGTAGTGGCTTCCGAAAATTCATCTGTCAAAATAGGTTTCTGTCGAATTAGGGTACGACACGATAATGATGTTCTGATACTTACCATTTATATCAGATACTAAGATAGACAATTACAAACTATAAGTAAGGGTGTTGTTATATTTCTATGTTGTTATGATGCTAAGTGCAGAAGTGAAGTTTGGTCTGGTTTTATAATTTGTACTAGTGTATTTTGTACAACCAAAATGTTTACAATTAAATTGCATTTCAGCAATTATTTTTGTATGAATTGAAATTTTAACACTTTATATTTCTTTTGTCTTTTTAGGTTGATGAAAATGTCAAATAATAGACGATTATCATTTCATATTGGATAATTTCAATACCTTTACGCTCTAGAATCGAAGAAGCTCAGTCTGGTGCATTTAGAGTCCCAAAACATCTTTTTTATTGTTTTGAATATGATATGTGTTTTATGACTGTTAAATAAGCATATATATCCTTTTTTGATTGATGGTGTTAGTACTTTTGAGTTTATATGCATATAGCTTGATTAACTTTTGCACTATGCTTTTTTCAGCCCCATCACAAGTCAGATATGCTCATACAGATGTTAAAATACCAGATTTTGATCCTTACCGAAGAAATTCTTTACATGACCCCAACACAGAGACTTCTTCTTCTGATAGTGAAAGAAGGGCGTTTTCTTATTTAACTGTAGGAAGTAAGTGTCTGTCTATTGTTCTTTTATTGTGAGAATAACAAGCAGTTGTAATAAGTTTGTAATAAATTTAAATCATGACCGTTTTGCATTTAACATTTAAGTGATCAGTCTAATATTTCTCTTACTTTTTTTTGGTCAATTAATTAATGAGGAAGGAAATTTTGTAGGTGTCTCAAATTTAACTAAAGGGTCAAATTGAATATTGACAAGTTAGCTTGAAGAGTGAAGACGGTTAGCAGTCTGAAGTTACTGGCTTAAGTTTTGCTAGCTCCAAAACCTTAAGAGCTGAAGATGACTTTGAGAATTTTATGCAGTATAGATGAGGTTCCTGCTGTTATTTATGAACATTAAATTATTCATGCAAATTATTAAAAGTAGGCAGTATCAGGAAAGTCTTCTTTTGTAAAATGGATGCTTTCTTTTTTTTTTATTTAGCATTTTTAACTCTTTTTTTTTTTTTTCTAGGTGCAGGTGTAGCTACAGTCTATTGTTCTAAATATCTGGTAGAAACATTTATTTCAAGTATGAGTGCTTCAGCTGATGTAATGGCTTTATCTAAAATTGAAGTAAAGTTAGATGCTATACCAGAGGGATCCAGCGCTACATTTAAATGGCGTGGAAAACCCTTATTTATTAGACATCGTACACCTCAAGAAATAGCTACTGAGAAAGGAATAGATATAAATACTTTGAGAGATCCACAACATGATGAGGACCGGGCACAGAAACCAGAGTGGTTAATTGTTATTGGAGTTTGTACACATTTAGGTATATAACAAATGTTGTTTCATTGGTTAAAAAAAAAAGCCTTAGTATTATTAATAACTTTCCAATCACTGTGATGTTGTATGGAATATTTTAAGATATATTTTGCAAATCTTTTCAACTGTCTTGAAATATCAGGTCAATTGAAATATAACTTATATATAAATTGTTAATATATCTAATATTTAAGATTTAAAAAGGTTGACACATCATTCACCAAACAAATATAGAGCTCCATTATATTTTTTCAGGTTGTGTACCAATAGCAGATGCTGGAGAATTTGGTGGTTATTTCTGCCCTTGTCATGGTTCACATTACGATACATCAGGTAGAATAAGAAAAGGACCTGCACCATTAAATCTTGAAGTACCAGAATATAGTTTTCCAAGTGAAGATCTTGTTATTGTTGGTTAATAAAATATTGGATAATGAAGAACTCAATGTGATAACTAGATTAATGTGGACTCTTTTTTTTGTTATCCAGGCTACAAACAATAAATTATCGGATTTAGGCTTAACATCTTAATTTATTTTGAAAAAAAAATTTAGGACCTTATTTCAACAAACATAAAAAAATTATGAAAAATCTCCTTATTTATTTGTTTTGTATTACAATTTATTTGGTGTTAACAAGCATAAACAAAACTGAGTGTATGATGTAAATAAAAGTTTTAGCAAAGTTCTCTTGTATTGTATTCAAATGAAGTCACTGTGACCACTTTTCTCTAATTACATCTATTACACACAGTAATGAAATTGACACAACATAATTCTCACTTTTCTATAACCATTCATGCAACTCTGAAACAATATTATATTCTACATCTTGTCAATAGGCATCTTTATTTGTGATATAGCAGTCTTTCTTTCATTCTATGTCAATCAAATGCATTCATTAATACACCAAATATGTGATCAATTAAAGTACCACATGAGAAAGTTTATTCTTGTGTTCTTACACATTACTGCAAACAGTGTACATATTTAACATATACTAAGATTAAAAATCTAATCTAGTTCATGACTGTTAAACTGCTGAAAATTACTTTGGCTAGTTGTCAATAGCAGAAACTTCATACAACTCATTTAGGCACTCATTTAATACATTGTTCCACTTGTCAGTTTAAAATTGATCTACCAGTTTTAAAATTCTATCTTGTTCAGCTTCTTGTGTGCTATCATCTTTAGCATCACCAATATTTCCAGCATATTCTGTAAAGACAAACCACAGTCATCAGATATCAAGGTCTTTGAAAATAAAAATCTACAATGATTAATATTAAAATATGTCTCACCTCTCATTATATATCTAATAGCTTTCACTGAACCACCTCTCATATTTAATATCTGCATAACTCTTTGTTTTATCTACACAAAATATAATAATACAGTATATATGTAATAAAGCACTGGCAAAGTATCCTCATGATTGTATATAATTGTTTCTAATGAACTGTTGACTTGTTCATAAAACAGTCATAATGGTTATGTATGTGTAACCATACTGACTATGTCAAGAGTCATAATTGAAGATTTATGATGTGACTGATTGTGAAGATTGATGGTGAACACATTTTCCACACAGTGATACAAATATGACGAAAATGAGCTGTGTATAATAAAGTTCTTATAACAGAGCAGTTTTACCAATTTGTCTCAATGAAATAATTTATTTACAAATAAAAATGGTCTAAACCCAGAGAGAATATTTAGTTTCATATATAACTTCTAAAAGCAAAATAGGACCATAACCATAAATTTGACTACATAAATATTATTGAAAAGAAAACTTACTGATGGTTCCCCTGATGAACAAACTTCTAACATAATATAGTCTACTAATTGTAAAGTAAATAGACCAGAATCTAATCTTTTTAAATAGAATTCATCATCTAAATCAGAATCAATAGATTTGCCTTGTTTTTTATATCTCTACAATATAAATATATTTAACATTTAAAAACAAACATTGATAAAGTTAGTCTATTTATTCACATAGAATATTCAATAAAATGGATTTGAAATATAACTATTTTCATAGCTCTCTTTTTTTTTATCAATTTACCAAAAACCTACAAGTACATTGTATCCTGTGTAATAAGACATGGGACGGTAAAAATATGTTTGATTACTGAGAGTGTTGGAGTACTCAAAGGTCAGGAGTACTGAGGAGTACATCTGCCACCTCTGTCACTATTCAAGCTAATCAATTGAGACTAAAAAAGAGTGTTGAATTGTACAGATTGTCGGAATTTCAGATGTTGGAATTCTCAAACTACACTGTAGTATTAAATCTGCTGACCATAAAGTCATAAGTGAATTATTTCTAATCTAATGAAACTTACAACTTTTTCTTGTTCTATTTCATTATCGCACGTTCGAACTCTATCTAGATATTTTAAATGCAATTCTACTAATCGTTCAACCTGCAATGAATTAATAGATTCATTTATAGATGAATGAATCACGATAAAAAAACAACAGGAACAAGATAATCATGCAAGATAAACAATCCTGTTGAACAGTAATTGTCTTGCCTTGAAAAATAATAATCTCATATAAGGCCAATCTGACTGCATTGTGATATCAGGCTTATATACTGTTAATACAAAAGTATACTGAGATGCAGATTTAATATGGCAAGAATTGAAGATAAAATAACCATACAATTACATGTATATGATTAGGTTAATAATAACAGGTAAAACTTGACAGTAAAGCTGCCAACCACTTGTATCATGATAATTAGTCAAGTATACTTCAAACTAGTTCCTACAAACTTTGTAATTCAAGTCCGATTCTACGGAATGTATCTCAAATTGTATTGATAAGCAAATCAAGGATTAGCTGAAACAAAACGACAGACTTACCTTTTCATGATCATTTTCAGTAAATTTATTTAAAAGTCTTTGTCTTTGAGTACCTTGACAATTTTTTAATAATGAACCAACTATAGAGGTAACATGTTCTGAAATCATAAACAGAGGGGTTTGTTATCTTCAGCAATCAGCTTTATAAATCTCTTATTGTCAAGTGATAAATACAAAATAACTATCTAGGCTAGCAGGGTTCATACAGCACTTTGCCTTAAAAATTCAAAGACTTTTCAAGGACTCTGGGCTTTGAAATTCAAGGACTTTTCAAGGATAGTAGTCTGACAGAATACACATGTACCTTACTTCTGAACTGTGAAATCAATAAAGATAGTTAATATTTGTCAATGGGGTTAATGATAAAAATATACACAATTTGACTCAACTCAAAATTCAAGGACTTTTCAAGAGAAAATGGTTTTTTATGGTGTTTTCAAAGACTTTTTTTGAAATCAAGGTTTTTCAAGGCAACGGACGGAATTCAAGGGTTTTTCAAGGCTGTGCGAACCCTGGCTAGGGAATAACTCACCCAAACACTAGCTGATTTCGTAAATAATGACCTATCCTGCTTTGTTATGTGAATTATTTACTTTTCTCGTATTAACTGCCATCATTATATGGTAATGCCTATAAATTTGTTATCTTTATGAAATCATAAGATATTATCCTTCTATACAAAATTCACTATACCATATCTATGACAAACACTATTATATATAGGCATAATAATTTCTGGACTGATAACAACCTACCTTCCATTTCATCTTTGGTTTGACCTTCTTTAACTGGTTTGGGAGATTTCATAAATAATGGGAATATAGTTCGTAGTCCCAGTATATCAATAAATTTCTGACAATTATCACTACCTTCACTTCCTGTCATGGAATGATTTAAAACTTTTAGAGCACTGTTCCTAGACATCCTCTTTTCTCTGAAAAGAACAGTAATATATCTTGTTATTATTATAATCATTGCATTGAATTATTTCAGCTCTCATCGATCTGATGAATATAATATTTTACAATTGAACTTGAATCATGTTCATCTAAGTTTCATGTATGCCATCTTCACAAAATTGATGTATTACTTATTTAACTAATAAATTCAAATTTAGAGAAATTTGGATCTCAATGCTGAAATAGTCTGCAGTTTACAATGTAAATTGTAAGACAGCACAAGACCACCTTTTGCTATTTTCAATTGTTGAAGAATCAAAAACCTGCTTGTAATACAGAGGGTCCCTGTCTCAATCATGTCTTCAATATCAACTAAACTTACATTGCTATTTGGTTTAAAAAAAATCCAAAGGAGGTTTATAGTCTTAATATTAAGTGTGCCAACATTGCTCTATCAAATACAATACTGTAATAATTTGATACATTTATTTTTTGACTGGGCCAGCAATGTCTTGTGGTCATTTCATCACAGGGATATACTCTTATATCATATTCCTTACCGTAACATCAAATTCATCAACTGCAAGCCTTCCCCTTTTAAGAATCTATTTCTATTTTGGGGAACCATTAAACATGAACACATTGAATCAAATAAATTCTCCATGTATTCTATTTCTTCTTTAGAACTAGGATCATGTCGTTTATATGCCTGAAATGTTTAATACTGAATTTAATACGTATTAATTAAATATGAGATAATCTACATCTTCTACACAGGTTCGGCAGTGATACAAAGGTATGACAATTAATATCATTAACTATGGACTCTCCAAAAGGGATGTCCATTTACAAATTGAATTCAGTGTTCCAGGAGTAAGAGCAAGCCTTGTCTGGCCAGAGACACACTCCTCATTACCTATCATATGGTACTAAAGCTGATGCAAATCTTGTATCTAACCAATAGAGTGATGATTTTCTACAGGAGTTGGGTAAAAAAAATTTGAATAGGCTTGTATTTTTTAATATAAAAACAAAAAAAACTAGAGCCACTCGTGGCACAGAGTGGGACTTTTGCAAATGTAGCAAATTGGAAAAGACCCCGAAAAAATCATCCTTCCACGATAATTAGATCAAGCGCAAGAACAGTCTAAAGTTGAGAAATTTTCATTTTTTAGAAGATTCTAATACCGGAAGTAGACGTCAGACCTCACAAATGAAAGTATCAGCAGATAGCCAAGGTCAATGACCTTTGATCTTGTAAAAGAGAAAGTCTAAAAAGGTCAAGATCAAAAGATATACGTCATCAAAATTTCTAATTGCACACGACTATAAAACCCGAAGTTGACATAGGACAGCAAATACGAAAGTACAAATAGATAGCCAATGCCAATGACGTTTGATCCTACAAAGGTCAAGGTCAACAAAGGTCAAGGTCAAAAATTGAAAATTTTCAATTTCCAAAACCTGTTCCTTTTTTTGAACTAAGAAGCGGAAACAACCGAAGTTCTAAGACAAAGTGGCTCACAATATGAGGTAATTGTATGCAAAGTTCCATTTTGAACAAATGTATACTTTGCGAGTTATGCCCCTGGCCAAAAATGTCAATAATGAGTAATTAAACCCGGAAGTGCTTCGCCCAACTCAATTTTTTTTTAATAAGTTAATCAATATTCAAAATGTTACGTTATGTTCCAAATGTCAAGTTCCTACATACTAGAGGTCAAAAGATATAGGTCAACAAAAGTCAACAAAGGTCAAAATCGAAAAATGAAAATATCCAAATGTTAAAACCCGTTCCTTTTTTGAAACTATAAAGCTGAAACAACTGTGCTGTTAATACATACTGGCCAAAAGGATGAGGTAATTGTGTGCAAAGTCTCTTTGCATCCTATGTGAGTTATGCCCCAGCCCCAAAATGTAAACAATTAGTAATTCAACCCGGATGTGCCACGCCCACATAAGTTTTTTTGTCATAGGTGAATTCATATTCAAAGTGTCTAATTATATTCCAAATATCAAGGTTCTACATCAAATAGATCATAACATATACATACACTAAGCTCAAAAAGTCGCAAATATTGTAAAAAAAAAAGCTCAAATTTGAAAAAATCACGAATTTCAATTTTGCTTTAAAAAAACGATTGCTATATATCTATGTAAAGTACACGAGAAGCACATTAGGAAACCGAAAAAATTTACTCTCTAGGTTAATTAGGTCACGTGCTAGAGCAGTCCAAAGTTGCGAATTTGGATGTTTTTGGACAGCTATAAAAGCGAAAGTAGACGTCAGAGGTCAAATATGAGAGCATAAACTAATAGACAACGTCAATGACTTTTGACCCAATAAAGGTCAAGGTCATCAAAGGTCAAGGTCAAAAATTGAAAATTTTGAATTTCCAAAACCTGTTCCTTTTTTTGAACTTAGAAGCGGAAACAACCGAACGTCTAAGACAAAGTGGCTCAATTCATGAGATAATTGTATGCAAAGTTCCATTTTGAACAAACGTATACTTTGCGAGTTATGCTCCTGGCCAAAAATGTCAATAATGAGTAATATTACCCAGATGTGCCACGCCAACCTTAATTTTTTTGCATAGGGTAATTGATATTCCAAATGTTATGTTGTGTTTCAAATTTCAAGCTTCTACATTATTCAAGTCAAAAGATATAGGTCAACAAATGTCAACAAAGGTCAAAATCGAAAAAATGAAAATATCCAAATGTTAAAACCCGTTCCTTTTTTGGAACTATAAAGCTGAAACAACTGAGCTGTTAACACAAACTGGCCAAAAGGATGAGGTAATTGTGTGCAAAGTCCCTTTTATAACAAACATATCCTATGCGAGTTATGCCCCAGCCCCAAAATGTAAACAATTAGTAGTTCAACCCGGATGTGCCACGCCCACCCCAATTTTTTTGCCATAGGTGAATTCATATTCAAAGTGTCTAGTTGTATTCCAAATATCAGGGTTCTCCATAAAATAGGTCATAAGATATACATACACCAAGATCAAAAAGAAACAAATATGGTAAAACAAAACTCAAATTTGAAAAAATCACGAATTTCAATTTTGCTTTAAAAAAGCAATTGTTCTATATCTATGTAAAGTGCATGAGAAGAACATTAGGAAACCGAAAAAATTAACCCTCTAGGTTAATTAGGTCACGTGTTAGAGCAGTCCAAAGTTGCGAATTTGGCTTTTTACGGATAGCTATAAAACCGGAAGTACATGTCTGGGGTCAAAGGTCAAAGTATCAAATGATAGCCAAGGTCAATGACCTTTGACCCTATAAAGGTCAAGGTCATCAAAGGTCAAGGTCACAAGTTACAAGCCTTCAAAAATTGAAAAAATTCAACCGGAAGTTGCAAAAAAGCAAAAGTCAAATTCAAAAATCCATTTCCAACATTTTTGTCGCCATCGACTAAAGTATACACCAACATAAAAATTTGACCGATCCCATTCTCCCCCGAAGCCCCATTTTGAGTTTTATGAAAAAGTATCAAATCAAGATGGCGGCCGAAGTATTTTTTTCGGACTAAATTTTATTTTAAAATCGGCCATAGAATTAAGATTAATAACGATATACATAATTTCGTTGAAATATTTCAATCACACCGGAAGTTATTCAAATGGAAGTGAAAAACGATTTTCCACTTTAACCGGAAGTGACACAAAAATTTGGAATACGTCAAATGGTTTACATTAGTGACATGCATCTTTTATCAAAATTTCAGATTAATCCGAAAAAAACTGAAAAATGGTCCAAAAATTTCGAAAATCGGCCAAAAAATGTCTGCGAAAAATTTTCGAATTTTGAAATTTTGAAACTGCTATTCTTTCAGATTTTAACAGTAGATTCCAAAAATGCAAACCCAAAGAAAATCGACCGAAAAATACGACTTCTAGAGCCGATTATCTATTCTTGCACATATTGAACTGTGGCACTTCCGGTTTTGCAAAAAAGATCCAAAATATATTTATGCACATCGTCGCCTATATCTAAGGTTCATGAATGTTGAATGGTTGCTGCAACTATTGTAGTCTAAGCTCAGGAAGGTGTGTAAATTTCGAAAAAAAAAAAAAAAAAAAGAATTGACATTTCGATAACAAACTGGGACTTTGCTGAAAGCAAAGTCCCACAATTAATTCATGTGAAATTTGTTTTTCCTATTGGTGATGCTTATGTTGATAAGATCAAGAAAGACTCTATATTTGAGCAAAAGAAAGAATAACTTACAGCTAATTGTGACAATAATACATCTATGCCATCAACTTCACCCAACAAAATTCGATTTTCTACAAAAATATTATTATGATCATACATTAAAATTTCAGCTTCTTGTCGGTAGGTGAAACTAAGTTTACATTGAATAAAGATTGATAAAGATTATAGATTATAGTATGAAATTTAGGAAAGACAGTAATAAGTGCCAGTTGGAAGATTCTTTTGAGTAAAACTGGCCATGTAAACCAATTATTCTATTAAAGGCATTTTTTGTGATCAATCATACCTATGTTTTAGAAACAGGAATTATTTACACCTAAGCCAATCAGTAATAGTGTTCACAGCTCACCGTCAAAATTTGAGCCTTTGAATCCAATTATCCGCATTTTAAAGTTAAAATTTGAGTCGACCTTTCTGCAACTGCCATATATAGATAAACATCTAAAGAAACAGGAAAAGAAATTCCTAGTTTGAGACTATAATGCAAAGTAAGTTTATTTTCAAAATATGTGTTTAAACTGTTTTAAATAACCTTACCATCAGTATTCTGTAACAATATAGCTAATATTTCACTAGCATATACCTTATTATCATCAAATGGTATTTTAGACTGAAAAATAACATTTATTTATCAAATTGATACTTGATGATTTCAAATGGCAAAGGAAAACAGATAAAGACTGGGGTAGCACCAGCCTGCTGGAACTGGGGGTAAAATTGAAGGTATACTAACATAATGGAAGATAACTGTCGGGGTTCACAAGCTTCTGATATTATGAATTTGTCATAAATTTAAGAGAAATGTCACTGTGACAAATATGGTTGTTTATGTTCTTTTTTCAATTCTCTCTACTAACCTTTATTCTCTTCAATAACCATGGTAATAAACCTTGCTGTGCTGCTTCAGAACATATATCAGGTCGAAATTCTGTTATGTTCTCTATAATAGCTGAATCATAGAAAACATTAAGTCTTTAGTAGAAAGATCATAAATGAATTTAAAAGTCGTCATCAGCTAACTGACTACGCCGATTTTATTTAGAAAATTTCTCAATTAAAGATTTGCAATATGAGGTTTAACTTCTAAATTTCCAATTTGCAGTCATGCAACCCCTTTGGCTTATTTTGTTATTACAAGTTTTATCCATTGAGAAGCATTTTGCATAATCAACAAACACACTATATCGTGGGTGACCGCTTGAAACCTTGTATATGCCATATTTGGTCATTTTGACTTTTTGGTACCGTTCGAAAGCTTGTGAAAGCGTGGAACTTGTGATCAAAACCTGGTATTCTTAGCTTGATCGTAAATAACTCAAAAAGCACTAATTAAATGACACGTATATAAACAGTCAGATTTAAAACCTCGTAAAATATATTATTATACGAGGTTCAATGTTCCTTTTCTGCAGATGAAAATGAAAAACCTTGTATACTGTATTATCATACGAGTTTTTGGTTCAATAGGCTGGAGAATTCAAATTGTTATACGAGGTTTATATTTTCAAAGATTGAGAACCATGTATAGTGGTAAAAAAAATAATAAAAAAAGATTTTAACAAAATGCGCGTACAAATAGGTTTTGTGTTTTTCTCGAAAAGTATTTTCGCGTCATACATAGTTATATATATGTTTCAAGCGGTCAACCACGATATACAATGATATATAAATATAAAAATAACCATACCAAGAGAATTGTGGACACCTTCAGCTTCTTCTTTAACTGTTTCATCCAATCTTTCTAAATTCTGTACCAAAACAGCTACAATTTGACCTTCAAGCTAAAATACAGAAACAAAAATCATGTAAATAGAATATTTAACATTAAACTTATTCTCAAGTGTAATAAAGTTGTAAAGCATATATACCAGTGCGTCTATTAAAGCTGTTCCACCATCATCATTTTCATTTAAAGTATCAACATCTGTTAATTCTTGTAATAAATCTACTACAGCTATTGATATATCTGAAGAGAAAACCACATCGTGATGGTCAATGACAAATGTTAAAACCTTAGATGTGAGGGCACCATCAGATTAGTAATGCCAATTATCAGAATTGTTTTTGATTAACAATAAAATAAAAGTTGTGAAAGTTATAATCATGAACATGAAAAAGCATAGATACTAAAATAAGCACCTGTATTATCATGAGATAATAATTGCAATAATGATTGCACAGTATTTAAGTCTACTAAAACTTGATAATATTCTGGCACAGTTCCAATCACATGCATTTCTTGTATAACATCATTTAATTCTACTTCAGACTCTAAAAATCTGAAATTAAAACAAAGTGAGATAAGAGATAATCATTTAGAAATTATTTTCAAATTGAAACTCTGTTAATAGTGTGAGCCTACTCCCAAATATTGACTCTACAGTAAATAGCACAGTTTAAAGAGACAAATTGATAATAAACACTAGAGGATGTTATTGGTGACCATCAACCTTCAAACTAACTTAGCTCCAGAAAATACACCTCAAACTTACTTTTCAGGGAGGTCAGGAAACTTGATTCTCATTTCTTGATTTTTATAACATTTCTTCTCAAATGATAATAATAGTTTTTTAAGATTGGTTTCATCCATAACCTCGGCCTGTAAACAAAACATTAAATATATAAAAAAGAGTGAGAGATGCGCCATTCTTTTTGACTTAGGTCTCAGAAACAAATAATTTTTAGCTAAGCCAATCAGTAATACTGTTCACAGTTCACCGTCTAAATTTGAGCCCTCAAATCCATGTGTGTCCAGGATTATCTGCGTTTGAATGTTAAAATGAAGACTCGTCATTTTAAGATACTCTGTGATATATAGAAAAGACATATATATATAGAAATAGTGAGTAAAATTCCTAGTTTGACGTATTTTTCGTATATTTCTAGTACTTCTGAAGACTATTTACAAATATTCAAGAATCGAATCAACCGCACAAAATGGCACATCTGATTTTTGGCATTGAAATTTGTAAATCTGTCCCTCTTTTACAATATAACTGAAATGAAATCACAGAATATATCTTACATCTCCTTGTTCAACCACCATTTTAACAATTTTAGCTCTATCATCTTCAGTCACAACTGCTCCAACTCCTCTTATCTGGTTAATCAAAGCACCCTTTCTTTTGGTCTTTGGTGCTGAATTTTCATCATTGTCATCGACTTTCTTACGTTTGGGTGGAACAGTGCCAGGTTTATCAATCTGGAAAACAAAAAAAACAAAAAATTTAACATAAGAAATAAATTCTTAAATTTTCAAAGATAGCCATAACTTTTTACTTTAAATCATACAATCCAGGGGACATAACTCACTTTCGGAACAAAATAAATGATCTCTTGAAATATTTCCCTGAATTTCAACAAACCTAAGACTGTCATAAAATCGAATACTCTTCCTTATAAAACAGAGCTATATGTTGATCAAAATTGGCATATTTGATAGCGTCGAGAGACATTGTCTTTGAAGACATTCATTAAAAATATTTACCTTGAAAGAAAGCAGTTCTTCAACCTCCATTTTTCTTTATCAAATTATACTTCCGGTTCTGGTCACATGACTGAAAAAAACCAATCATATTATTGTAATGGCAGCCTCCGGTCGAGGTCTTGCATTATTAGATTTTATTTATTTTCTGTGTTCTTAGGCCCATTTCTATATTTTTTTTATGTACACCGGATTCAACCTGTTGATTAATTACACGCATTAATCTGAGGCTTTCAATATAAACATTTTGGTAGGATTGGTTTGTTTGATTCAGGTTTGAATAATTCTTGCTTTACTTTTATGTGATGATGTCAGTGATTGGATACTGATACCATGCCCTTGTCATGGCTTATGGTATTTTCAACTGAAGACGATTTTGATGACTGTTGTAATTCGTACTAGTAAAAGATGAGACAACTAGTTTCATCATTGTCTTCTTTTTCCCACAGAAGCATAACCATGTTTTAGTCTGAAGATGGTCTAGTGGGAGGCCTACTGTTACTGTTTATTGGATAGGCTACCAATTTCATAAATTCAAATATGAAATCATAATAGTCTTGCACTAACTTGGAATGTCATAGGCATAGGAATCTGACAATAGGTGTAAGAACAGAGGACATTACCATTGTCTGGCCTGTCATTGTCTGTTATTTGCTGTAGTAAAATATATTGCATAATTTACATTAAATAGGAATAAAGACATGTCACCACTGTTGTAGGGTAAGGCAGTAGCACGATAATTTGGTTCATGGAATGAAATAAACCTTTAGATTTAATTTTTTCATATTTTTTCTTTTTCAGCCCCCATGGACGATATTGATAGTCCAGATAATGACTGTTCTAATTTGAACAATGAAGAAGATGGTGAAATGGAAGCTGTGAATTCCCCAATGGTTGAAGATGAGGATGATGGTATTCAATCTCCTGATGAAGGGAGTAATAATATGGAGGAAGGGGGTGCCCCTTATACAGTACCAGTATATCATGATAATTCTGAGAATGAAGCTATGATGGTTGATAATAACAGCGTTCAGTCTCCGTTGCAATCAGATGGATCTGAAATGTTACAAGACAACCCAGCTTCTCCTAAAAGTCCTGGAACACCTTTAGAACCCCAGTCTCCAGCAGATGACATGTTATCACACTCTCCTAAAGACTCTGAAATGCCTGTACAGTCACAATTATTGGCAAACACCAGGTCTCCACAGAACAATCCTGACCCTCAACGTGTTTCAGAACCAGATAGTGCTGGCATAGAATCAGCACAGTTTGGGTTTGGTAGTCATGCAACACAATCTGAATCGAAAATTGACAAGAATTTTGATACTCAGGAATTTTATAAGGAAAGTTCAGATCATATTCCATCTGAAAAGTTGAATGAAAATTCTGAAGCTGTGTGTGTATCTCAAGGTGTTGATGAATTTAAGAAAAAACCTGACAATAATGAAGAGTGTAATGAGGTGGAGACCAGTTGTCTAGATGAAGACAAAAATATTGACACTCCAGTTGTAGATAGAGAAGTTAGTCAGTCAAGTGAAGCCTTGCCATCACTGTCTGAAAAATTAGATACAGTTAGTTCTGATGAAGATTCTTTTTCTTCCATGAAAGTGGCTGATTCCACTCAGATTAGTTCTGAAGAGAAAACAGAGACAATCCAAAGTAATATAACATCAAGCTCTAAAGTTTCTTACGCTGAAGAAATTGAATCTCCTGATGATTCAATAGACAATTCCTCAACGTTTAGAAAACTAGAGTCTGGTGCAGAGCCAATAGAATCTGATGAATCAGATAATGAAATATTGAATATGCCTGATCAATCAGATAGCTCTAAACATGATTCTAATATTACAAAAAGTGCTTTAAATAAAAACCTGACTCAAGCTCCTGATGCTTCAGGATATGATTCTGAAGACAATCATTTAGATCTTGAAGAACCTATTGTAACTAGTGGTGTAAAGTTGAAACATGATTCAAGTGATGTGACAGGTAGTGTGAAAGTGGACTCCAGTGTAAGTAATGTAACTATTAATGGTGATTATAAACATGACTCTGTTAAAATAAATAAACCAACTGCTAATACAAGTTTTAATGAAGAACATTTAGAATTAGATTATGATGAGGAAGTGGAAGATGGACAAAGAAGTGAGCAAGAAGAAGGTGAAATGAGAAGTGATGATGAAGAGGTACTATTTTTAATTACCACTACTTATTATTTATTCTAACATAATAATAGGAACTATTGTATAATTTTTGATATAATTTTGAAAATCCTGTTTCAGTTTCTTATAGGGATTAAATTCCATCCTTTTAGCCTTACACATGTATCATACATGCAAAGGGCCTTATTGGAATTCTAGACATTTAGACATTTTCCAGTTATATGTGTGTATAATTTGCCTTTCAGGTCAATGACAAATCAGAAGATGGAGAAATTAGTGATGTATGTAAATAAATATATTTTTTAACGAAAAAAAGCCCATTTATGTGCTACCAGATGTCTATTTAAAACTTAGCAACTCATGTTTAGAGAAAACAACTGTGTACAACAATTGTTCAATTATTGAAATGTGATATCTTATGTTGTAGGATGATGAATGTGAAGAGGGTGAAATTAAAGAGCCAGGAATGAAGAAACCCTTTGTTAAACCACTCTGTAGATTTTTTGTCAAAGGAAATTGTACTTGGGGTGAAAATTGCAGATTTTTACATCCAGGTGTCAATGATAAAGGTTTGTAAATTTTACTGCCGTATAAATGTTTTGTATATTCTTGCTTATATTGCAGATTGTATATGCCTGGAAACATCAAGATTGGAATATTATTTTTGAATAAATTTTAGTCCTGAAGATTTTACAACCTTTTATGTTTCTAGGTAATTATAGTTTAATTGAACGACCTGGTTTTAATGTTATTATGGGACCAAGAGGTTTTAATGGTGGACCATGGCAGCCTAATGATGTAAGTATTGATAAGAGTGATAAATATCATACTTTTATGTTGGATGTTATTGTCATTGTGAAGTTCAGATTTTATAGTGATTAAATGTTAGTGGAATTGATTCTATTTTTATTTAATTCATTTTAATTAGTTTAAATTGTGAATTTCTTGTTTCTTTATTTTAGATACCTCCAGAGCCTGAAATCTTGCCCCCTCCCCCACCTCCTGTAGTACCTGTAGTAGAAACAGCCTGGGAAAGAGGATTACGCCAAGCTAAAGAGGTATGAATGTATTATTCAATTATTTTAAAATGAAATGTTTATTTAAACTAAAATCAATCATAGTAAGATAGATAGTAACATTGATTTATAATATGTATAAAAATAAAACACAAATTACATAATTTTGCAGATGAAGAAAAAAGCTTCAGAAAGAAAAGAGACAGATCAAGACTTTGAAGAAAAGAGACTGAATTTGAAAATGGATGATGTACCAGATAGAGAGTTTAATAAAGAAAATGAAAGATATCGCTACAAGGATCCATATTATGATGCAGGGTAGGCTTTATTTTATGCACAAATGTTTCAAAGAGATAATATATGGCAAGATCATATTTTGAAAATAAAAATGGGTCAGGACTCTTTAACAATTTCACTGTTCTAAAACTGAATAGCTAGAAGTTCACATAGATCAATTTTGGGGCCAAAGAATTCCAGCTTGAGAAAAACATATCTTTTTTCCTCTGACTTTTTACAGTCAAGTATGAGATAACAGAGCTGTAAAGCTTACTTGATTTTATTAATTTTAAAACATCTATTCTCATGACAGGAGTGAACCTGATGAGTATTATGATAAACCACAGGGTTTCCAACCGGGTCAATTTGAAAATTTTGAAGTTCGGTGGACTCGAGGACCAGAATTATTAGATGTTTACAGGGTTAGTATATAATAAAAGACTGTGTATAATTTGAAATTCTCATCTAAATTATTAGATAGGAATTTAACCAATTGGTCTGGTACTTTTGGTTCAGTCGGAAGATATACAATTATCTTGCATTTGACAATTAGGCTAATAAGCTATACTAAAGATGTTCACTTGTTTTTAAATGATAACTAATTCCAACTTATTAGAGCTATTTACATTTAAGAGTTGTAAATTCAAATATGCCTCATATGCCACCTTTTTATGACTTTTTCTCAGCAAACAGAATATTTTGATGCAGAAAAGTTGTCATTATTAACCTGGTTTATTTTCAGGAGAAAAATGAAAGGTTTAAGGAGAAACAGTATATACCATCACATGTTGAAAGGTGAGTAATTGATTTGTTTCAAGTGACAACACAAAGGTAATGCATCCCTCTGTATATTGTCTTTTTAGCATTATTTTTTAATCATTCTGACTACAAACTACTGTATGCCAGAAAAGTTCTCTGTAGTATTAAGCAGCAATGTAAGATTTTGGAGATTGTGACTTAGTTTCTGAAAGGACTTCTTTTTTGAACTCAAATATAAAGTGAAAGTTTCTCTCTATTACTTGTCTTCTTGATAGTATTTTGGGGTAGTGTAAGCAATTGAAGGCGTTATTCAAAATTAAATTCCAGCTTATATTTACGACCAGTGTTGGTTTTTTTAACCAAGTTCTATACATTCCACTTTTGACCTCTCTTCAATATATCATTGAAATTTGAAATGATTAATTTTCCAGAATGAACCATCCTAATATGTCAAAAGTGAGACAAACACCACCAGATCCTCGTGATTCAGTACCTCCTATACCTAATCGTGGTAGAGCTGATGAATGGAGAGATCCTTGGCAAAGGTAAGAAAAAGTTGTTTTTTTCCAGTTGCAATATAGTTTTTGATGAACAAATTAAATGTTTCAACTTAATCTGGCTGCCGCTCATTTACAGGAAACAGTTGAGGGATTTTAAAATGATGAAATTAATTTTTGCTATTTAGGTCTAAGTCTCCAATAAAGAAAGTTAAACCAAGGAATTCCAGACCAAGACATAGAAGAAGAAGAACTCACAGTGGTTCTTCATCAAGGTATTCTTTTTCATTTACAATTTAATATTAATGATATCATCATACTGCAACCATATATACAACTTGTACAACAGTACAATGAAATAGAGATGTGCCAGAGTGGTCAACTTAATGATACAAATGTAACCAATTTTTATACGCCAACATTATAATATGGTCGTATATTGTCGTCGCTCCTGTCCGCAATGGGCTTATGAACGCAATAGAGACTTAAGTTTTTATCTGATTTTTTTTTTAATTTTGTGTGATCATTTATAATGATGAAATCTTGGACAAGTTCGAATATGACAATCTTTTGATGAAAATTTTTTTAGTTATTGCCCTTGACTTACGAAAAAACATGTCAAAATTTGTTTGTGAACACAATAGAGACTAGTTTTCATCGGATTTAAATGAAATTTGGTGTGAATATTTATGATGATTTTATCTTGGACATGTTCGAATTTGGCTATCTTTCGATGACTGGTTCTTTGAGTTATTGCCCTTGACTTATAAAAACTCATCAAAATTTGTTTGTGAAAACAAAAGAGACTAGTTTTCATCAGATTTAAATGAAATTTGGTGTGAATATTTATGATGATGATATCTTGGACATGTTCGAATTTGGCTATCTTTCGATGACTGGTTCTTTGAGTTATTGCCCTTGACTTATAAAAACTCATCAAAATTTGTTTGTGAACACAATCTCATTTTAATGCAATTTGGTGTGATCATTTATATTATTAAGATCTTGGACAAGTGTTTGATTAAATCAACTATATCATGCACAAATTAGATATTTGTTATGATTTGAAACAGATAGGTAACTGCCCTTGATTTACTGAAAATGTATCAGGAGAGTTGGCGTATCTTACTAGGCAACCGCTTGTTTTACTGTAAACTGCAAAAGTTAATAAGAATGTTATTTTTGCAATTTTGAAATGCATTATTAAAATGTTATTTATACTTATACTTGGTTTATAGTATGTTAATTGAATGAAATGTATTTTCAGTTCATATTCATCATCAGGTTCCAGATCATTTTCATCTAATTCATTCAGTAGTGGCTCATCATATAGTAGATCTTCCTCCTATTCTAGGTAAGATAGTAATATTTATCTGGTATATATAGGTCAATCCTTGACTGTCCTTACAAATTTGATCAATTACTGATTCCAAAGTCATTAATGACTGAGGTTACCATAAATAGCATATTCCATGTTGATACAGACCAAACATTATAGTGAAAGAAAGTGTTAATATTTGTGTTGTTCTGTTTAGGTCATCAGGGTCTCGGTCACATTCTCGTAGTCCTGGTATACCTAGAAGACCTGTAAATAATCGTAATATGCCAGGGCGTAATATACCTCTACGTCCAATAGATAGACGACCACCACCTGATCCTGTATATCCACAAGACTCCAGACCTCCTGTACCACTGCGTAATATGTAAGTTTTTAAATCATACATTTATTACATGTAGAACCATATATTCATAACCTTGTGGACGTTTTGTCAGAGTTTATTGGATTCTTTGGAATTTAAAGTCCTGTCTAACAATTTTGATAAACAGATACTAGTAATAACTATTCTTTTAATGGTTTATAAGACCTGGTTGTGTGATAATGCTGATATTATTTACGTCAGTTCTGTATATTTTAGGGAACCAAGAAGTTCAATATCTGTTAAACCGTCTAGAAGTCCTGATAGACGTAGACCTCCTGCAGGTGCTACAATACCGCTTACTCAGAAAAATCTACAAACGTTTGGTGACAAAATAGATAATAGGTGAGTTCAAAGTACAGTAAAATATTCAGACAAAGAAATAAATTTGATATGCATCTTCCAAACAAACTAGGCAGCTTTAAGACCTTAGGCTTAATTAGACAGTAATTATTTATCATATTACTGATGGGATTTAAGATTTGAATGACATATAGAAGCGAGGAGCACATATAACAAAAACACAAGACAATATTATGGAATATAACACACTTCTTGGGCACATACGAATATACCTAAGGACGAAGCTCTACTGGCCCTCCGAAAATCTGTAGACACGAACCGAGATCTAATCACTACCAAATTAACAACAGACAGCATCATCACCTTAGCTGGCCTTTGTATCAACACTACCTACTTCTCTTGGAATGATAAGCTGTATCAGCAGATCCATGGCCTTCCTATGGGATCCCCACTGTCACCTCTACTCACAGAAATTTTCATGTCAACTTTCGAAACTGATGCTTTAGCCTCCTCACCTACCCAACCCCTATGTTGGTTTCGAAAAGTAGACGACACCTTTGTTATGCTCAACCGCAATTAAGACGTCTACTCTTAGACCACGTCAACAAAGAGCACCCTCGCATTCAGTTCACCGTCGAAACAGAAAGTAACCTCTCCATCCCCTTCCTTGATATCACCATAGACAGATCGTCTGGCACTCTCAAGACTCGTGTTTACCAAAAACCAACCTACACCGACCAGTACATACATGCTAACTCCAACCACCCTGCACAAACCAAATCCTGCATAATATCTACCCTTACCCGCAGAGCCATTTGTGACCCGGAATTCCTTAATGACGAAATCAACCATTTGAAAGACGTGTTCACTAGGAACAATGACTACCCCACCCAGCTAACTAACTCGATCATCCGCAATACCCTCAAGTCAACCACCTCAGATAAAACCAAACAACCAGCTGCTCCTCTACCCAGAATAGTCCTCCCCTTCATAGGTCCTACCAGCTACAAAATTAGACGCCTCCTGAAACAACAACTATCCATAGATTCACATTTCACCTCAGGTACCAACAAATCACTTCTGGCAGCTAACGGCAGACCTAGATCCAACAAGAAACCTGACCCCAGTGGAGTGGTATATGAGATACCATGCAACTGTGGAGCCATTTACATAGGTGAAACATGCAGACCCCTCTCCACCAGAATGAAAGAACATGTAACCTCCACCAAAAATGAAGACGGAAAATCGGCCTTATCTGAACACCTCATAAAGTTTCCTAACCACAAAATCCAATGGCAAGACCAATCTATCATAGCCTCCAACCTCCCTAACAAGCAACAACGACGAATTCGAGAAGCTCTAACTATTCAGAGACGCTTTCCAGAAATCAACTGCGACAATGGACAGTACATTTCCAAGATATGGCTAAACTAATCTTGCCTTGCAAGCTATCTTTACAGTTTTATTCGTACATTTCAGGGGTCGAAGTCACAGTTCTAGTGGTGGTAGTAGTAGATCATCATCATCACGTTCTGTCAGTAGTTATACTTCCTCCACATCTTCTCATACAAGTAGTGGCAGTGCTGATTCACAACATTTATATCGAGATATTGACAGTAAAAAACAGGGCAAGGCAGACGACAAGAAAAAGATAGGTAATTTTCATTCTTCATTAGTTTTCCTGTTATCTCTATTTTAATATGACACTATTCTAAGAACACTGGGATAGTTTAGGTCAAGATAAGGGAAACTATGCTGGCTCGGAGAATAAGGTTTCTGTTTTTCACTAATTTGACTCTAAAATACAAGACATGTATAATAGTAAGGAAACTATGTTGACATAGTACATTAGATCCTGCGATCAAAACTTGACTCCAAAAGACAGGTTTTCAGATGAGACATGTTTAATTAATTTTATTTCAGCTGGAAGTAAGAAGAGCAAAAAGAAATCAGGTGATCCCCGAGGTGGTGTAAGAGTACCACAATCAACAACCCGTCCAGAAGTACAAACTCGACAAGGCCCTGTCACACCTGTAAAAGCTAAAGATCCCATGAAACTTGTTGGTCAAAAATCAAATATTAAATTAACACTGTTAAGTAAGGTAGGTTATAAAATATGTTTTTCTACTGAAAGAATATATCTACTCATTATTGCCGATAAATCTGTTATTCCAATCACTATGTATTCACCATGTAATCACTATGTAAGGTTGTCAGAAGTTTGACGATTATTTATGAGTGAGCCCTTTGTGTCCTTTAAAGACTGAAGGTAAATCCCCCAAAAAGTAGAGTTGTAGATTTTCTAATAGCATATATTTACTTACGAAACTTTTTATTTAAAAATGTTACTTGAATTGTCAATTATTAGGGTGATAAAGGAGGGGGAGGAGATACTAGTCAGAGTGTTAAGAGAAGAATGCCAGGTGATATATCTACTGGTGCCCCACCAAGTAAAAAACAGGCTGTTACAACAACTAAACCTACTCCTGGTAATTGTTAATTCATTTGATAAATTTTACTACAGTCCTTATGACTATTATTCCATTCGTCAAAGCTATGTATTTACTATAAATTTACAATACACCAGTTAGTCATATTTAGTTTGCCTATTATTTCTTTATGTTAAAAGTGTAGCAATATTTTAATTGATCATTATTTATTGTAGGTGAGAAGGTTCCCAAACCAGGAGCAGTCAAATCTAAATCCCCGGTCAAAGAGAAGACAACTCCTGTAGCAGCAATTAAAGGAAGTAAAGCTCCGGCATCTCCTGTTAAAGTACCTGGTAAACCAGCAGCACCAGCGACAGCACCACCTGCTCAAGCTAAACAGAAGAAGAGTAACTCGTCTCGTCGTGAAGAACTATTAAAACAGTTAAAGGCTGTAGAAGATGCTATAGCTAGAAAGAAATCTAAGATGCAATGATGTATATTGGTATTAGTTTGTAATATATAGTATATACAGTTTTTCCTACGACACTAAGAATTATGTTGTGCTTGTTTTATCACTTTGGTTCGGTCTTTATTGTAAGATACATTTTAATGGAAGCATGAGTTTAGGTGTAAATTTACTGTGACTGAAGTTTATAGTTGTCAGAAATATTACTCTATCTTTGATCTGCTGTATGATATAGTTCATCTGAATATAGAAACATCTAACTATTACTGCTGCTAATTATCATTGAGGGTGAAAGACCAGCCCAGAAGAGTGCTGTTATCATATTCATTGTATTGAATACAAGATAGAGATTAGATTTTGCATTTATCTTATGCTTAGATTTAACATTTAGAAAAGCATTTGAAATCTTGTATATCACAAAACCTGAAATATTGTTATAAAACTGAGCTATTGTTTCCACTGCAAGTCGTTCTTGGAGTTGCGAAAATTTAATCATTAGATGTATATTTGTCAAATTATTCAGGTCAGTATGTACAATATAAGTAGTAAGTGTCAGAAATTGATTATTAAATTGTAGTGTGTTTAAAATGAAATGATTATCAGATTGGGCATTGATTTTATATCTTGAAGCATTTTGAACCCAATATGTAGATCATATGTTTTTAATATTGTCGATCAGAATGGGAATCAATCAGTCTAATACGTTATTTTGCTATATTTAATTTCTAAGACACAACATCCTCCTCTTTATGAATGCGTATCAAGGGCAGATTTTGTCTTAATATTTTATGAAAGTTTTTTATGTGTGGAGGTCAAGGTGTGAGGTATTTTGTAGAACTTACTCATAATTTCATGAAAATTTTTGATAAAATATTGACAAGAACTTATTTATCAAAAGGTTGTAAATATTAACATTTGTAAAATAATCATGTATCATCTTTGTACATTATTATAAATAATGATTTAAAAAAAAATAAATCTCACTACAAATTTACTGTTTTATATCGGTTCATCAGAAGGAATATATTTTTATGAAATGTGGACATCCTTATCACCAATCTTATTCATTTTATCCATAATAGTCTGAATAACAATACAGAAAGGAATTTGAGGGATTTTGATCTTTAGAATAAAACTCAAACTTTCTGGAGAGCGCAATTCTTAACAGACATATGCAATTAAAAAAAAAAAAAAAATGAAAACACGCCCCACAATCTTATCAACAAGATCTTGTATGTAACATTTGAAAGGATTGAATGTTGTCTCGTGGCCTCTTTTCTCTTGGAAAAAAAATGTATTTTATACAATAGTTTTAATTGATCTGGATTTATATATATAATATAAGTACATAATATATTGTATAATATGAAGTATTTACAGCATGATTTTGTACATTAATAATGGAAGAACATTTTACAAGGCACATTTATAGAGTAGATCATGGCAATTTTATTTTCAATTTCTTATAATGACATTAAACAACACAAACGGTTCTAAATAAAAAGAATATGGCACATTAATTATATTACACAGTAGTAACACACCATATATATTAGGTAATTTTGACCTCAGACAATTTTTGCAACAAGATTTAACAGCTTCAAAAAATACAAAACTAATCAAGTTCCTGTAAATTTTCATTTCTTCAAGAAATGGAAATGTCGCTGCATATTAAAACATATGATACTTGATGTTTTGAATTTTTTTATATTTGTCATTCTTTTCATGAATTGATTTTAGCGTTTCAGAGCCCTGCTGACAACCTAAAGTATATTTCCTAAATTATAGATTGGTCTACAAATACTAATATAAATATAAAAATAACAATTTAAATTAGTTATCTTATTATATCTTCTTGTTAAGAATATACAATAATTATTCATGAAAAATAATTAATATGATAAAAACTTTTACATCTAATAGTAAATTTGTACATTCCTGAGATGGGTGTAAGTTTATTTAAATAACCTTGTTTCACATGTTGATCCTGAAAATTATCACATATCAGAATATTGCATGCTGAATGGTACTGTCACCATACTGTAACCTTGTAATATTGTCCCCCAAATACCATAACCAGAATAATCTCTTTCAGTTATCTAACGAACTTTATAATCAAATGTTCAGCATTTAAAGCATTCGAAAAATAATGTACGCCAAATATCTCTACTACCAAATATGTTAGATAAAGCTTTCCAATCTCAATTCTTCCCTGAACACAGCAATCTCTTAATTTAAGAGAATTTTTCTACAAAAATGTAGCCAGCTCAAGGAAATTTTGTATAAAATGACAATCATCGAAAAAAACATGTCATCTCTAAACATCACCAAGAACCATTAACCGAGCAACATGCAATGGAAAAAGCTAGCTGTTATTCCCAGTTTATACTCTCTAAACCTGAAAGTATAAACATGCCAGACTAAAGTATAACTACAAATAAATCAATTGGAGGGTTAATCTTCTGTGAAACATTATATTTTGTGAAAATGAGTTATCATTGACCTGAAATAAAGAGAAGAGATATTATCAGATTGATTCTAAAACTTACATCTGTGACCACTGCAGGATCTCGAGATTTTTTCCACATTTTGGATTTCATGAGGTTGATGTAAGACCTTGCTGATTGTTGACTAAACAAACTTACACGTCGGTTACTATTTTCGAGTTCTCCACTCGGCTCGATGGATCCACTGGATACATCTGTTCCAACTCCACTTTCTGTAGTAAATTCAAGTTATCATTATTAATGCACCAAAAATAGAAATTACATTATATTTACTTGACATAGATAAAGACAGAACTTTCAATGACATAAAAGAAAAATACATACCATAACAGGTGTAGCAATAACCAAATTAAATATTGACGATTATTCTTTACACTAGGACTGCTTTAACATGTCTGATAAGAACACAGGGCCTGCTGGCTTCTTAAAAGAGTCCTATTTCTTCACATAATCACAATGAAAATTGGTAACAAACCTTAATCACAGAAGGCCTACTTTTATGTCCAGCTTTGAAAATTCTTTTTGAAGCACACAGAGAATAAAGCATACACCTCTCACAATTACATTCAGAATGAAGCACACTCAAAAAGCACACAATACTGATATATTAACCTATTCTGGTTTTCTGCTCAACAGACAAAAAAATGGTGATTGGATTTTCATGAATAAAAAATTTATCTTGAAAGATTTGTGAGGTTTATCATTAGAATGACTATAGAATTATTCTTCAATTTCTCATGAATCTGAATCAAGTTTTCATTACCAATTTACCTGATAAAGCAGTCTAAAACTACAGAAAACTTCCACCTCATAAAAAAACTGACTTACCTTGTTTTATAAAAAAAGTTTTACAAAAAGACGTCTTGGCTTTCATATTTAATAAATTATAATAAATAGTTATAAAGTCTAGAATTTTTAAGATAAGGAGAAACTTATATTCAAAGCTCTTAGAAAACAGCAAAACCAATAAACATATGTGCATAAAACTTAAATCCAAATTGCAAAAAGAAAAAAAATTTGTAAGAATTTCAGAGCAGCCCATAGTTAAAGATAGAAATAGTTTATGAACTACAGAGAAAGGATTTTTTTTGGCATCAAAACAATAAAAAAGGTCCTGTAAAATAAAATAAAAAGTTTGTGCATGCATACCATTAGACAGAAGAGTTGAGGTTCCATGATGTGGACGATCTAATGGATCAAAAGCCAGGTTTAAGGAACCAAACAAACCAAAACTTGAATGACTTGAATTAGAAGATGAGTTACTACTGACCGAGATGATAGAATGAGGACGTTTATTGCCATTTTTTAAATGTTCAAATGATGTGACAGCAATGGAGTTCCTATATCGAGCTGTAAAATATAATGAAGATATATATAGTTAATTTATCATGCTTGTTATGTCAATTTATTCAATATTTCAAATACCACAAGTCTAAATGTAATTCAAACATGCATATCAATTTGGAAGCATTATGCATACAACAATGCGACTTAAGATATAAATTCAGTATACTTACATCCCCTAGCTCCTACACCAACATTAATATATCTATCTTGTATATTATCAACACTTGGTTTTAAGTCTAAACATGGTTTATTTCCCATTCCCATGTTTGCCATTTCTGATAGTCGTTTTTCTACAATGAAAATCACACATAAATAATCATAAATACATTGGTTATACAAAATATAAAATGGGTATTAGCAATCTGAAATAACTATGAAGAAAGAAAAACTTATATTTCTTTTATAACACTCCAGGAAAGTTAAACAGATCTTGAAAAGGAAAGAAGTAAGACACTTACCTCTATTTTTCATTGCTTGATTCCATAATAACCTTGAGATCTCATTGACCCATGCTCGCTTTATTTCAGTATTTTGAGCTTGGAAAACAAATCTATCTCCACTACTTAATTTTCTGAACCAAATTTCAAATTTATAACCACTTTCGTCATAATTTTCTGTCAAACCAAGATCAGATGTCTAAAATAGAATTTTTTAATATTCAAAATCAAACTTCTCTATCTACATCAAGATTTACATACCTGTTAATTCATTCAAAAAACACAAATGCAACTCTGTACTCTGTTGATTGTTTGTACAAAACTTCATCTGGTAAGATAAAGACCTAGGCCAGTGCTTCTATAGGAGAGTATCTTCTATAACCACTTTCATGGCTACTTAAAGAAATTCCATTACTAGATAAAATTATATGACCTGAGAGATGAAATAAGTAAATTTACCTTAAAACTATTTTTATAAAGATAAATATCATGATGACCTTGTCTTCCACTCTTAGTTTTACTGAATACAATTAAATCTTCAAATAAAAATATACGTCTGATTGATTTCTTTCTACCCTGCCATATTAAAAACTCATCTTGACGTAATAGTCTACCATGTTCTAATAGATTCACCTGCAATAACAATGTCACATTTCTATTGTTTAATGCTGCATTTTCAACCTTATCACAAGAGAACATAAAAAAAAAATTTCTTACCACTTTTATGATTCAATCTCGCATGAACATTGAATTGCCAGATCTCTAAATCAAAAACTTATTATATCATTTGGTCTAAAGGTCAGAATCAAGTTTACTTACATCACATTCTTTTAAAGAATCCATGACTAATAAATCATTACCATGTCGAAGTTGAAACTTGACCATATCTTCAGCTGCCTATAAATATATTTCTTAAATTTTAACAGTCAATAGGACTCGATCTGTAACTTCAATTCCTTTGAAAAAAACAACTGCTAAATCCTTCGACACATTTATTTATGAACTTTATCATCATGAATTCAAACTATGATAAAGATTAACATATCAATTGAGATAACTATTACTTTATATAGCAAATAAAATAACCTGCCCTTTCACTGAATAATTGTCTATACTAGCAGAAATAGCATGTAGCAACCATATAAACCTCTACATTCCTCCTCTTTGTTGGATAGTAAGAGATCTGGAAACCAGACTTTAAAGCTAAGATTCCATATACGCGTCATGCGCATCCGTCATGCGTCATCCGTCAAAAATCGAAATGGTTGGTTAAAGAGGGTATGATTCCATATATGCGGAAGCGATTTTTGTCATATGGTCTCCGTCATGCGCCAAAAAAAAATCGCTGGGTGTAGCTATTTTTATGCATTCGGACGCCTTTCCGTGCGGAGATCTCCCAAATCTCCGCAAAGGCCATTTATGTCCGCATGACGCGTATATGGAATCTTAGCTTTAATGTAGATAGCTAAAATTTCACTTTTGAGATAAATTGCTGGTACCTTTAATTCCTGATATTCTGATTCACTCTCATTACATTCTCTAATTATCTGTTTTAATAACAGAGCATATTTTCCCATTCTCTGTACTGGTTTTAATAAATATGATGCTAGATTCATTTTATCTCCCAGTTGATATTGTTTCTCCTGAAAATCACATAAATATGAACATTTATCAAATGAAATATAAAGAAACAAAATTATGTCTATCAAATTCCAAAAGGACTTATTCAGTTTCTAAAGTAATAATTTTTAGTGTGCAATTGACAATGTTATCACAGAGATAGCAAAAAGAAAGAATAATTTTAGATTTATCTATATACTTACACTAAAAAAAGTTTTACCAAATTCTGCCATTAAGTTATCTGACTTGGGTTTATTTTTATTGTATATAGCATACAAATAGAATTCTTTTTCCTGAATAAAAACATGTAAAATTATATTATCAATGGCAAACAACCTGCACTAAGCGTCTGTGAGCATCTCTAAAATTAAGATAACAGTTAATCACAACTAAACATCTAATGTTTACTAATTTTCAAGATCATCACATGCTATTTCTAAGATTGTATATAACTATGTTTAAAACTTATTTTAAAAAAATTACCTTACATATTATCCAGATTTAAAGAAATAATAATGCTCAAAAAAGACTAAATTTTAAGTATAAGTTTTGTGAGTAGTGATACCAGTATAAATATAAAAACATATATATTTATTTCATACAACAATTGTTTAAACTATACTTACATGTGATAGGATATACTGGCCTATTTGATATGGTGTAAATTCACAGGATTCAACTTCATTTAAAAAGTATTGGCAATGGAATTCATAAATTTTCTCAATGTTCCCAAAAATAACATTTCTCTTTCCTCGTAAAGCTTGTGGGACATCTTCACGTAATAATTCAGGTATGTAATTGTCTATTACATATTCTAATGATCGTACATAATCTCTTTCAGTCTGTACCATTTCACTCATTATTAATGATAATGTTCTATAAAAAAACAATATTTACAAATTGTGGAACTATCTAATGGGTGTGTGCATACATGAATGTAGGAACATAATATTAAATATGTGCGAATTTGTATTCCGCCAAGTTCATGAAGACTGGTATCTGGAATTTAGCATGAGTATACAATTGATCTTGAAAATGTGCCACTTGAATATCTGTGCATTTGGTAACTACAACATCAATCTAGACATACATGCCTGTTCGTGTGCTTTTGTAGAATTACTTAACCATAATATTACAACCTAATATATGCATAGTAATCTTCATAGAAACTAGACAAGAATATTTACCCAAATCAAAACCTCAATAAATTTGAAATTTGTATTTGTTTTTGTGGAAAGAATTTGTGGTTACAAATTACAATTACATACTATGACAACTATCCAATCTTACCTTCTACGTTTGATCTCAGCGTCTGTTAAAGATGATTCAGACATAGAAGATAATGGGTAAGATTTGGATTGTTTTAGTAGGTGAGAGTTGACTGGTACAGGTGTCCATTCTTTTTTAACGTTATTTATATTATTAACATGACTGTTATTACTGGTAGTTTCTCCTTCCTCTTCAGGCATACTGTAATTCAAATAGATTCCATAAACATTGATCAGAATTAGAGTACATGTATATGAAGCTTAAAGTGACTGGTGCACCATTTTAGGGGGGTTATTTCAGTCTTGAATATGTGAAAATATTCTTCAGAAGTACTCAATATGTACGAAAATCGCATCATTCCTTTAAAAATACTTGAAACTACAAATTTTACTCAATATTTCTATATATGTACCACATTCAAACGCGGATAATTTCGGGACACAAATGGATTTGAAGGCGCAAATTTCGTCAATGAAATGTGAACACTATTACTGATTGGCTTAGCAAAAAAATTCCTGTTTCTGAGACTTAAGTATCATAAGATAAATAAAATGGCTCAACTGTCCCTTTAACAGATGGTTGCTTCAAAATGAAACCAAAATATCTCAAAATTAGCATCCTTTGATATTTAGAAATCAAAAAAAAAAGTAGGCTAATGCTATTTTTCTGAATAAATTTACCTCATTGTACACTGCATGTAATTGCCCATCCTCTTTAGCCTTAAAGCAGAACAGTATGACTTTAACCTCCATTTCAATTCAAATTTTGCAATAATGAAATACATGACTTGTTGCATAACACTTTTTTTATAATGCAACACTAAGAATTAAGTCATGTTTCCAAAAATATAATCAAGAGCTAGCTCAATTGATATGTTTGTACTAAATCTGATGTTTTAAATATCTTACCTGGGAAGACTTTCTGAACTACCTGTAACCATACTGATAGTTTTACCTGTCCTTTTATCTCGAATAGATTTCGATTGTTCATTAGATCTACTAGTTTTCTCACTATTCTCTATAACTGGTGAATTAGTAATAGGAACAGGAGACGTTATTGTACGTTTTAATAGTTTTTTAGTAGGTCTATCACGATCTGTAAACGTACTACCAGGTTGTGGAGGGTTAGAAGAAGATGATGAACTATATTTTTGTTGAGAACTGTCCATACTAATGTCAGTAGAATAACTAGAAGATGTTGTATTGGGACATTGTGTTCGATGTTGAGTTGAAGAGTTACTGCAAGTACTAGTTCTATCATGAGAGTCACTAGAACTTGTTGACGGGGATAATGAACGTCTTTCTACTTTTGATTTAGCAATAAAACTTATTCCCTTTGAAGGAGTGCTTGTCATTTGTGGTTCCCAGAAACTTTCAGAATTTATTTCCACAGCTTTTATTTGGTCTTGTTGAGATTTCTTTGATTGTTCCACCATTAATTGGTCCCGAGCTCGTTGTAATGTATTTTGTCGTAATAATAATAATTGATAAGTTTCCTCACAACGTGCTTTAGCTAACCGGCACTGATCTAATAATTTATCATTTTGTAATCTATATGTCACTTCTATCATGTGATCAAAAATATCTCCTGTTAAAGGTGGATGTTCCTCTAAATACACATCCAAACTTTTCAATAATTTGTCAAGTCCAGATGGATTGGCACTGAATTCCATCTTCATACTGGCCACGTATTTCATAGCTTCTAGAGCCCACTCATAACTCTGAAAATAAAATCAAATAGCAATACAGCGAAATGAAATAATAATTTTCTGAAAAACAAAAACAATTATTCAAAAAAATCAAATATCAAATAATTTATCAAACTTTCCTAAAATTGCAAATTTTTAAAAAGATATTTAAACCAATGTATGAAATTAAAATCTATTACTTTTTCTTATCATAAAGTTCACTGATAGATTTTATCACTGGGTGTGTTATAACACATGTAGTATTTATCTTTAATTGTATAAAATTTACATTTAAAAATCAAACTAATTTTCTTAATATATTAGCATTAACAGAGCATATGTAGAAATAACTATGAGAGCTTTTACAAAAGAAGTAAAAAAAATTTGACAGTTTTACAGAACTTAACTGTTAGGTTAAAATCAATAGGTGATATATATCAATCTCATGAATTGTGTTTAACACTTTATATACTGTTACCTTATACAATATAATCCAAATATAATATACAAGCGTTTGATAATTAATCATCAAGCTAGATCATTACACTGTATTTCTACACAGTCTGGACTAAACTGGCTTCCTAGCTTCAATACAACTAGACTGTATTGATCCAAACTTCGATCATGCCAGTCACGGACAAATCATATATTGACATTCTAAATCTCAACAATCCTAGTCAATGTTTATTATTTTAATACATCATCAACATACAAACTTTTAACACTAACTTATATCAACAACATAATGTCCTGTTTGTCAAGTTTTCTATTTTCATAAGAATTTTCAAAACAACACTTTATTCACTGTTTCAAATAGTCTTGAGTGTGAAAAATGAAAGAATTCTTCAAATAGAAACAATCTATTTTAGTCTGTCTGGTCAAAATAAAACAAATGAACCTCTGAATTGTATTTTGTTGATAAAAAAACATAACATTTGAATTAAAACCCGGTGTCATTGACTTCTGTTGAATGATAACTTTCAACAACGCTAACATATAATGTAACCAGGAAGATTGCAAATGGAATTTTTCTGTAATAGCAGACATTGGCAATATAGAACAAAGTATTTATTTGCATTTATCAAAGCTAATATTGTAAATAAGCTTAAGTACCATCAAATTAACATGATTTAGATATAAAAATTTTCCTTTACGGTTTGAAACTTAACAATTACCAAGAAGAATAAGAGATGATAAATTAAAGACACCTAAAAAATGGATGTTAAAGTACATCAACTGGCTGTTAATATGGGATATTCATAATAAAAGTACAATTCTAAATCTCACCTTGTCTAATAGTTGATAACATTTGGCTGTGCCTTCTATTTTTTCTCTCCTGTCCTCTAGTTGGTTAGAAAAGGTATGAAGATGTTTTTTTAATTGTCGAGCCAAATCTTTATATCCTGTAGCTTCATCATAATGTCCTGACTGACTTAACATACTCGCTTCTTCTAATAAATCATTTCCTTTGTCGATATGTTGCTGAAAATACAATCATTTTATATAGATGATTCTACATGAAACTCAATTTACCTTCAATATTCTTCGATAATCAAAACCACAGCCATGCATGACTGGCAAACATCCATAAATATCCATTTACATGTACACAAATTTCTTAATAAGTACTACAAATACCAAATCTTTATTCATCTTACATGTGTATTTACCATAATTTTACATCTTGACATACAATACATTGTACTTTTAGAGATACCTTAGATCTAATAATGATATTAGTCTTGGTATGAACATACGTAAATATTTCTATATCTGATGTTTACATATTGAAATCATAAATTATGTTATCTTACGATCATGTGACTTAGAACCTATATTTAGTAACAAAGTCTACAATACATAGATAAAAGGGAGGACGACAGTTAAAATTTTTATCAAAATTCCATTGTTTATAAGTAGATAATAGCCAATAATCAGATAAAAATTCAAACTGCACATTTTTTATACATTAATCTAAGTGTGTCAAGAAAAACTGTGCATTTGTGATACATAGATTGAAGGCTGTCAACCAAATATTTTTTATTCATTACGTAATATTTCTGCAGAATAGGGATTATTTTCCAATGTAAGCCATTTCTTACATATTCACAAACTCTATTAGTGGGTAGAATAATAAGAATATTCCCCAAATAATTGCAGGGAAGAATAATCCATATTTTTAAAAAATATCACAGTTTTTTTTCCACCATATGTATGCTTAATATAAAAACAAGAGCTCCAGAAGCAAATTTAAGAGGTTGGGGTATGTTGAAACAGCACTGCCCTTCAATAGCTGGAGCATTGCCCCTATTCACCTATTACATAAAATCTATTCATTTGTCATTTTCGGATCTTTATATCCATTGCACTTTCTATTCATTTCATCATGTTTTTACGTATGTTTATAATTTTGATATTTAAAAAAACTATAACAAATCTCTTGATTTGTTAAGACAACAATAAAAATAGAGTTGTATTTGTCTTTAAAATATAAGAGTTTATCAAGATAAGTTAATGACGTGTGAAAGAAAGAAAAACTCTGTTTTATGTGATTTTGTTAAACAATGGAGGAAAAATTCAACCAGATCAACACTGGAGGTGTTAAATTCTTTAAAATGTAAACAATATTTACAACCTGAACTTTAATGAAGGGAATGTTTTACTGACAACATCCTGTCGTTCACCTTCTATTTACACTTTAAACAGTTTGAACTCATGTCAACTGGTACTGGTATATTTCTTTTGTGAACAATGAACACATTTGTAACGTTAATTGACAAGTTAAATTTGAACTGCACTGAACAAATCTTAAAGGTTCTCAATATAACCAAACTTAAGTCAAAGTCAATTTCCCAAATAATCAAAAGATTGTGGTCTCAATTCATTTGAAAAAACAATACTTTTTCCATAGAATAAACCTAATGCCAAAAATGCTGAATGAAATCTCATCCCTCTTTCAGTTTGTAAAGTGGTTGAAACCCAAGAAATCAGAAAATATCAAATTGAGAACTGGCAAAATTAGCTCAAATAAGTAAAACTAAGAAACTATAAAACTGCAGTTTCAATTTTGGCACTAATAAAACAAAACAGTTAAATACTTACCATGCAAGAAAAGTAAAATTTTTCAAAATCTTTTTGTTGATGTCTGATAGCTTTTAGATTATCTGCTCTAGTTTGATGACGTTGTAACATCTGATTACCTTCTGTTGTAAGCCATGATATAACCTGTAGTCAATATGGTATATATATACAATATCCTGGATATACTTCCTCACAATATGAATGACGAATGACTAATAATGTTTCAGCCAAGAAATGAAGCAGTTTGATTAGCATCCTAATATCTATTTCCTATTTAGTTAATGCAGACAGGTAATGCAAAGCTGTGTACAATGAGAGAAACTCCAACTCTTGAAGAATCTTGCAGCATTTCTCTATGATTAACAAAATGAGAATTGTGTTTTATTTTACTATGCTCATGAAAACATGAATGTACAGTATTAAGTTGTTTCAGGAGAAATAATTTTCACAACTTCTAGATATAGAACTTTAATAGTTCTGTAAGATCCTACCTTAGTACACTCCTCTTCATATTCACGCAATTGTAAACATTGTTCTAATTTATTAAGACGTGAGTCTGCTATCCGAACTAGTTTCAGCATGGTGTCTTGTAGTTGATGAAATAAACTATCGACAT